TGGGTATTTGGGTATTTTAAAAAATAACATTTTTTTTATAAAACTTCATTCGAGTGAGGACACTTTTCATATAATGCCTAAAACTTGGGATTCATGTTGTTAAGCATAAGACATAGTCGAAATGACCAAATTTTAACAAATGAGCAGGTTTTAGCGACCAATTTGAAAAAATATGAAGTTTAACCGGCATGAAGCTCTACTAAAATTTTAATGTCCTCCATAAAATCTAAGTTACAGACAAAATTACATGTCTATGCCTTTCTAATTCTGTCATACTGAAAAGTTTTAATGAAATGACACATTTATGCACACTTATAAGCAGAAAACATGTGACACAATTTTTAAGGGTTTGTTTGGGAGAAATTTTTTAAAATATTTTTCCTCAAAATCATTTTCAACAATGAATTTTCTCTAACTTTTAAAGACACATTCTAAAAAAAATAATAAAAAAAAAAATTCATTTTCACTTGGACGAACTCTCATTCTCACAATTCATATCCTTGGTTGCATCAGCTTCTTGCTTTATTTTTTGTTGTTTATCTATTAAGAATGCGGGCACTTGTATCTACGTGAGTATCTAAGTCTCCCTTTGGCAAATTTTATAAATCAATTCCCATATTTCAATTGACGCAAAGTACGATCCACTTATCCAAGTACCATTCATTTTTGTCTATCTATAAATTAAATCACTTATAAAATCTTTCCAAACGAAGGCTAAATTATTCAGACTTTAATCATCCAACCAATATTTCTGAAGCTTGGAAGAGGGGAAGAGGAATATTAGAATCCATCTACCATGTGATAGCCGATTGGAAAACTAAAAATTGTATACAAAATATCAACCTTAATATTTAGAACGTAATGGCTAAATAAATCCACAATCATCGGATGAGGCCTTAGTAATACTGAAATATTTGTGAAAACTGAAAACAGAGATTTAACTTAGAGAAATGTGTGGAAAACTTGACACTACACTATCAGTACAGATCAAGTTATCACTATCTTTAGCAGATCTGTTGACATCATACCAAGTTTTTCCAACATCTTCTGAAAGAACTCTTTGATAATGTTCATGATGGGATGTTAAAGTGGAAAAGCCAAGATATCACGAATGCGAAAACCATGCAGGCGAGGAGAAAGTTAAGAAAACGGTGTCCATTTAAGCAACTTCGATTTTCTGTATTAATGAGTGCTGCAGCTGATGACGCGGTATTAGCTGCAGTAGAATTGCTTCCATTAGTTTGTTGTGCTGCCTCGATATAGTTTGGGCCAACCACATTCCGTGCAATCGAATTACAAATTTCACAAGTCCTGAAAATGACAAGCGAAGATGCTAATGGTGATGGTTAGGTGCCAACATCTATCACTAATACAGATTGAAATTCATGGTAATCATTCAAAGGCTAGACAATTAATTCCTTCCACTAGGGCGATGTACATTTTCGGAAGTTGATTTGGGACAACTATGAAACTGTACAAGTTCTTAATACAAGACGTTCAATTACTAAGTTGATGACGAAGAACATGCAAAAGATATATTGAGATAATATAGACACGCCGATATAGAATCTAGCTACCACTTCCGATTGGGATAGACATGTCTATGTGCGTTTACTCGTGAAAGAATGAAGGATAAATCAGATTTGTATACCACTATATCATATTCTTTGGACATTATGTACATCGAAAATGTTAAATATCTTGACACCAATGCTTTTATAGAAAGGAAAATAAAAATAGGGGTCGATTAGAGTTTTTTCGAATAACCGCAAGTGATTCAGCGTCAATTCGAAACAGAAACTTACATAAAAAATATTCCTGAACAGTTTTATGTCATTGAACACATACATAGCTGTCAAATTTCGGAATCTCAATATCATAAATAAACTATACAAAATGGAGTACCCACAAACAATATTCTCTCGCAAAAATACTGAATATTTCCAACAAAGGGTCAAATCTCACCTTTGATAAAGAGAAGGGAATCTCAAAGATGAGACAGCAATTAAACTTCATAAAAAGAAAAGAACAGCAAGGAATCATCGGTTTGAATTGGAGCTTAAACAGTCCTTTAAATACTTTAATTTTTTTGCTTTACCTCTTTTTCTCACCTTCTTTAAGCCAGATTATCTTAACATATTTTTCTACACTAAATTAATTATGGCATCTCTATCATAACTCTGACCAACATGGTACACTATGTTATTTCCAAACTTATTATTCCATATAATAATAATAATAATAATAATAATAACAGTCATGTCTTGATAGCCTCAAAACAAACAAGAACAACCTAAGAAACAAATCAGTAATATGAGCAAGAATTATATCAGATTCAAGTGATAGCAACCCAATTTGAAAAATAAAAAGAAAATTTTAAGCCCTTTGGATTACTCACTTGTTTCCTTTGATTTTGAACCAAGTCTCAGCACAATGCCTGTGAACAGCAGCCAAATCGTCTTTACAAGAACAGCCCAATTCAATGGCATCACCAGTTTCTGGGCTACTACTCACCAAACTCAAATGACAAATCCTACAATCTCTCTCAACTTTCCCCAAATGCATTTTATTTTCACCAATTTCTATGTCCACTACTGAAGAACAATCAGAAGAATCAGCCACGGATGAATTTCGCTCATATTCCAAATTCTCAGCCACCAAATTTTCGCCGTGCCCAGAGCCACAGGCAAAATTGTAATCATCATAGGAGCCATCACCTGCTGTAGAATAAAATTGAGAGTGACAAGAACCATCTTCCGCGTCGGAGGAACAGAGACTGCCCTCCTCCTTATTGGCCCCTTCGCCTCCCGAGGAGCTCCGGCGACCGCATTCTAAGTCTAGGCTAGATATTTCTAAACTAGCCATTGCAAAAGGAGTGCTATAGAGCCTTCAAGACTGAATCTTTATAGTCCTAATGTTCTATATTCTGCCTTTTTGTTGTGTATTTATGATTTCTGAGAGTATAAATACAAAAATTAATCAGTTTATATAGGATTAGATGATCCATTCAACTGCCCATTTGTACAGAAAATGTTGGGTGCTTTAGTTATGTAAAGTGAAAATGATGAGAGTGGAGTGGGCATTAGAAGGACAAGAACGGGAATCTGCAACATAACTCACTTTGTCCTGTAGATAAAAATTTTGTTATTTTTTAATTATATATTTTGTCAAATTTTATTAAAATGTATATTTTCTTGGTGTGTGTGAGTCAGAGAGAGGCTGGTTGTCTAGGTGGAGTGGGGTGAAGAACTCTCAGGATGATTCTTTATTTGTATTGTACACTATTGAAAAAGAAGCAGGGGAATATATAGGAAATGGACCATCATTTATACATTCCAATCCTTACACCTTGGTTGATATTGTCCTTGTTAGAAAAAAAAAATGATTGGTTAAAAAACTATATATTTTTAAACTATCAAATCACAATTTGTCATGTGGCAAAGTGTAAACCATGATTTTGGTGTACACCAAGCATGATTGATAGGAAATTTCAAGACTACATCAGCGTAATTCTCAATGGTGTGATGAAACTCTAATGAAGATCAACAGTGGTATTAAGGAAGTTACTCTTTAACTTTATACTTTAGGAAGTTCTCATGGATTTTCCAAATATTATTCGTTTGGATATTTTTAAAAAAACATTGATTTGTGTTACCCAAGCCACTTGCATGTTAGTCCCTTGCAATGGTAAATCTTTAATATTATTTAATTTACCTTATCAAAGATACCATAACAAGATAGTTAATTCAATTTCATTTCGGGTACAAGTGTAGAAGTTCTCTATAATCTTTTTGTTAATATTATGTTTCACACACTTCAGATATTTTTTTATAAGGAACTTTTATGATGCGACGAAAATGAATAGATGAAAAATGGAGTTACAATAAGTCTTACCATCAAATTAGCATATATAATACAACTTGTAATGATCAGAATGTTTGTTTAGAATTTTATTTAATTTGAAGACAGAATTAACAGAAATGTAATAGAATTATTAAACACATTTTATTAAACTCATCTAGAATTTCTGATGCATTTGATATTGGGTAAGGACCGAATGGATTGGATTATTAAACTATCAATCCATGAGCTCAACAACCCCACTTACACATGGGTAAGGAACGAACCGATTGTCAAATCATCATAGTTGGCTCACCACCAAACAATTGAGGCGGTAAGGCCCCAATTTTTGTAAAGGTCATAATGACAGAAGAATTAAAATTACGAAAAAATAATCACTAGCAAAATCACATACGAATTTGTCAGTAATTTACAACGGTACATTCAGCTATCACCGACAGTACTTTAATCGTTGATCGCCAACGAAACATTTGTTATTTTTTCACTTTTTATTTGAGTTTTTAAAATTAAAAAAATAAATAAATTATCAATGAAATATTAAACAAATAACAATGTGAAGAAAGAATATATGCTTTGTTTGTGACGATCAATGATGAAAGCATCATAGTTGATTGCAGACGACATTATCGGAGATAATTTGTTGGGCATTGTGTGGTGGTCATCACGAATAGGATTATTGTTAATAATTCCACTTGACTAATTTAAAAATGTTGATTTTTATTAAATATCACCGATGATCCTATCAACGATTAATTTTATTTTATTTTTTTAATTCTTTTTTCCAAAAGTCCCTTTAAGATTTTTGCCTAGAACCCCCAACTTGTTCAAATCGTCAAGGTTAATACATGTATAATCTGCAAAATCAAACGTCAATAAACTATATGGTTATTAAACTCTAAATTTTTGTTACATTTTGTAATATGATTTATTATTGTGGATAGTGTCCAACTATAAGCATTAAGGAGTTGAGAAGCAATGAGCTGATCTTTTGGTCTGCCATCATCTATCCATATTCTCATCTTTCTTTTGCTCTCACAGCGCCCGTCACTTTGGAACCATCCATCAACAACAAAATATTTGTAGGTCCACTTACGATATGTAATGGTTCACTAATTCGGTGCTACTATAAAAAAAAAAAAAAATGAACCCTTTTTTCTCTCTACATACAAAAACGATTCACCTTAATATCTTCTATAAAATTGAAAAATATCAGAATGATACGTAGTCGCTGAAAAGTGAATAATATAATTAACCTGCGCGCGTGCGCACAAACACAAAAAAAAATTGAATTCAAGGCTCTTGACATCAATCATGAACTGAGCGGTTAGTTGGGTTGTTGGCCAACCAACATAAGTATCCTAATAGACCTAAACGGTTGGGGTAAACTCATTGAAATTAAATACTATAATATAGCAGACTCAAAAGGTTGGGAAAAATTCAATGAAATTAATTTCTCCAATATAATAGACCTAAATGGTGGTAAATTCAATTCAATGAAATCAAATACTCCAATATAATTGACTTAAAAGGTTGGGGTAAATTCAATGAAATTAAATACTCCGAAAGATCTTGGTGGTTGATATTTTGGCTATCTTTCTTATTTTCTTCTTTTTTTTTTCTATTTGTAAAACGATATTTCGACTCATTTTACACTTAGAAGGGACGAATAGGTTTTTCAAGAATAAATTTAAATTTATTACAATAATATGCAATAAGTCACAAAGTATATGGTTAAGATATACAAGAAATAAGCCCTCCGGGGTATAACCTAGTGGTATAAAGGATAGGAGTGATGTTATCTCACGCCTTGCTGACAGCTGCAGTGTGGGAGTTCGATTCTTGAAATATGGAATTGGACTCATTGTAAGCGCAATGTACATGCAACTCTTGTTCCCTGGCCTGTTAGGACACATCTCGCGATTTACCTCTTTTACAAAGCTTTAGGAGTTGGACGGTAGGAACCATAAAAATTGGGGTTCAACCTTTTAAGACATACAAGAAATAAAGTTCTTGTCACCATAATCAATGAAGCAAGTTACGTATGCTGAATAGTAAATAATATCAATATTTGTTTACAAAGGGAAAACTCTTGAAGATCTCTTCAATTGAAAAAACCTCGAGGTACAAATAAATCATTTAGTTGGAAAAGATTGAACTTGCATATTTGATCCAAACACAACTAAATCTTAGTAAACACTTGCTCACAATTCGTAATCATCCGAAGAACTCAATTTTGTTTTTCAGCACCTATCTCAAAACCTCTTACTGATTTTCCCTTGTGAATCTCCAAGAACGAATTTGTTCTTCCTTAATCGGAACTTGGGTCAACTCTTATATTCATCAAAAATTTGATAACATTGTGTTTATTCAAATCTCATATCTTTTCTCTTATCCGTGATTTGAGATTTTATCTACAAGTTTAATATTCTATTAAATAGAAATAATTCATAATCATCCAGTTAGGATCAATCTAAACCACCCCCATTATGTATATGATTCAACAAGTCAACTATTAAACAACTTATTAGAAATACAAGACAGTCAATTCGAAATGTCACGAAATCCCCTGAAGAGATCCTAACTAAGAATTCTTGTGGTTCCGGAGATTCCAGCTACAAGAGAACCAGGAACGGAGAACTCCCCCCCCCCCCCTTCTGCCCAACTCTTTGGTCTTAAGAATACTGATTTTAAGAATGAGTGATTGCCCTTCTCCGACCCTTACTGCCCAACTTGAGAACAGATAGCTAATGCATTCCACTTATTGTATATGAATCTATGGTCGGTCCGTGAGCCCTGGATGCCAAAGGCGCCCTTGGGGGTGATCTCGTAGTTCCTACAGGGTGGAGATGATGAAATCAGTCCATGGATTTTCCTTCCTTTTCTTTTGCCGCATTTCGCTCAAAGGGTTGAAAGGAGATAGTGCATCAAGCTATTTGCAAGGGCCAAGTTGATCCTCTTTCCCAGGAATCTCTTCTACCAAGACATTTATCGAGGAAGCATAAATCCTTTTGAAAGAAGCTATTCGGAATAAATGGACTAGTTCCTACTTCAAGAACAAGCATAACATAAAGTAATTGCTCACTTTTTTCTTTAAAAATAAAATAAAATGTAATCAAGTGTCTTGATTCAAATTATGTAAAAAAGTCTCTCAACATAAAATGAATGAAAAGATTTATTCTGTATATAAATTGTATTTCATAGTTCTAGGTTATTTAGAAGTATTTAGACAGGCGCGAGACAGGCGATTTCCTAGTGCGGTACGGACGGTCACCTGGATATCACAGACGCTCCAGCACTTTTTATATGATCATTGAGCATACATGTTCTGAAAATTGTGCTCAAACGTCTTCTTGACAGTCCTTGAGCGGTAGTCATTCCACATCCATGATATTTTATAACATACTTAAACCAACTATCAATGCTCGTCAACATAACCCCAATTACAACTCGATTTATTGATCTTCAACACAACTTGTCAAAACTTACTCAGACCTAACACTGTTGATCAGACGCCTTCAATCCCTGAGATAGGTACATAGAAATAAAAAAGACTTCACATTACCATCCAATTTATTCACAGGCCTAAATCCATGTTGAATTATCTGTTTCACACAATATTGATGCAGGTCACATTTCTCAATCCAACAGGGTGGTAAAGAAGTACAAAAGGTTCCATAGTTGACTATTAGTGATAATTTTCCTAACCTTGTACATCTAGTGATATTCTTGCTAACCTTGTCCAAATTTCAACAGACCCTTTTCTCAAATCCAAACAAATTAGGAACGGAGTCTAGGAATAATTATTCAAGATCATCAAAGAATTATTCAAATAGATGATAGAGATCAAAAAGTTATCAGAACATCTAGCAGTTCCCATTTAAATAGGCATTACAAGTTCAAAGAGTAAAGCCAAAAAAATGAAAACATTACAGCAGAATTCATTCATTGAATTCAATATTTCTAAAAGGCAAAGGGAAGAAACTTGGATGGTAGGCTACTATTAGAAAACACGTTGACTTAGCATGCCAATCATCAATGCTATGCCTATGCATCGACGACCCTCTCCTCTTACTCCAATATGCCAACTGTGCATCAGTTTCCTCGTCTAGACGGGCTAAAGAGCAAGAAAATGACCTTTCAGATGTTTGTCCTGCACAACCTTTCCGCTCCCATGAACAAAAAATTGAATAATTTATCCGTATGATTCTAGGTCCATAATCTCATTAGTGCAGCTCAGTTCTTCTACTGACATATACAGCTATTAATTTTGGTGAATCGTGTAAATACAATAACTCAAATCACTTCATGCCCCTAAAGTTACCATTCATAGATAAAAATTGACTATTCGCTTAGGATGACGCTAGGTCAGGCACAATCCCCAAACTTAGTTTCTTCCCCTTTAAAACCTAGATTCTAATTCGTTCTACTCTCTTCAATTTCTGATTTGAAAATAACAGCTGCTACATCCTACCAATCACATTGTCCATGGCATTGATACTACTACTCTCCAACCCACTTCTGCGCCAAGCAACATTACTTATATCCGTAGCTAATGCGGCCAATTCATGGCTTAGGAGGGATGGAGGCTCAGCATAGTCAACAAATTCAGGACCCAATAAGCAGCTTCCTTGTGTCCCACCGCCTTGAATTTCACAGCAACCATGGCCACATTGGTGTGGGACCAACCGATCACCACAAGCTCCTTCGAGCAATTTACCGATCCCAACAGATTGGTTTGAGGATTGAATAGAGGGACCTTGCAAGGGAAGAGGCCCTGGACGTGGATTTAAACTTTCCGGGCCATCCAGTGAACTACAAACAGTAAATGCACTAATGCGAGCCACAGGACGGAATAGAGTGGGATGGTCCGTGGGCGGGTCGATAGATTGATCGTCCATGGATGGGTCGATATATTGACCTTCTGATTGAGCCCTCTCTTCTTGGTGGTCATGGTTGTCAGTTGCACGTTCCAGAGAGTTGACATCTTTCCCTCCAGAGGATTTATATGAGTTGGCATCACCATATGATGGAGTTTCTTCAGATGATGCTTTTGATTTTTCTGCACTATCATCCTCCATGACATTCACGGTTTCCAACTTAAATTTTCCAAGTTGCATGCAGCGGCGCCTCAACGTGGAATTCCAATGGTTCTTGATTGCATTGTCTGTTCTGCCAGGCAAAAGCCTGGCAATTGATGCCCATTTATTCCCATGTACAGCATGGGCCTCAAGTATGATGCAATCTTCTTCATCTGTAAGAAGTGTTGGCTCATTAAAGATATTGGACACAGGTATATTGGAACATCTCAAAGCGTTGATATAACAAACTCCTGAAATACTAAGAAAATCGATGAATACAAATAGAGCATGTCAATAAAGGCCAGACAGCATGAAATTGCTAACTTAGGACGAATAACTTTTCTTGGTATAGTATAAGTAGAAGTGAGCACACACCACACAGCCAAAAAAAAAAAAAAAAGAAGCCCCCCCCCCAAAAAAAAAAAAAAAAAAAAAAAAAAAAAAAAACTTGAATTTAGTAACAGGAACCAAAAAATAAAAGACAACGGAGAATGTGAATATAATTGTAACATTTTTATCTAGAATTGGGAATGCACATTGAATCAAAGCAAAAAATTGAGTTCTTCTAATTATGCTTTCGAAGAGATCATCAGTTACAGTCAAGCATGCACCACACGGCAAATATGCAGAAATTAGAATTTTAACAGTAACCAAAAACGAAAGGCAAACAAAGGATAAAAATCATCATTGTATATCTTTATTGAGAATTAGAATTGCATATTCAATCAAACCACAAAAAAAAAAAAGGGCTGCTTCTAATTATGTTTTCAAAGAGATCATAAGTTCCAATCAAGCAGCAAGGTCTCTTGACAAGAATGCAATGATAAGTGATACGAGTGTGCATAATGAGTCACTGCTCCTCCCCAACAAATCATAAAAGGGTTGCTGGCGCCTTCTACCATTAAATTTATGAAAAATACACAAATGTGATCAGAGTACAATCTAGTTACATGGAATCAAAAAACCGTAAAGCTACAAACCATAGGATATTAACTCCTCACTTCAACTTGATTCTTTAACTTTCATGAGCGGTCTACATGGCCAAATCATTTTAAGTCCTCAAGAGAAGGTTCTAGGTGAGGTGCTAATGTGGATGTCTGGACAATTGTCATGATTCTAAATAATGGTAGTGCCATTACGAATAGATTTGCATGACTTAGCTAATGCCAAGCCTAAGAAATTAAACAAGCAGAGGTAAAAATGCTGACAACTCAGGTTGGTCATATTTTCCTGCTACCTCATTTAGCACCAAAGGTATAAAGCAAAGTTGGTAGAACGAGCAGTGCCCAACAAAGTTAAAGGCAGCTTGTTTCATTGAATAAAATTGTAAGTATTGACACTTCCACTTCTCTTTCAATCAAAACGGTAATCAATTTCGAATCAATGATTTGTAGGTTGTAGTGTTCATCATTTTCGTTGTCCTGCTGCATCAGTAGACTATGACAATACTTTCTCATGGAAAAACCATTTAAAATTGCCATTATCAGGTTAAAATAGATGATCGAACTTAAATATACTTACACTGCATAAGAAGAGATTAATCAATTGATTCAAACAAAGTATTTGAAATCTACTACCCATGATAACTGATTTGAAATTGAAAAGTGGCATAGAGAGAACATAGTTTTACCCTTTTGATAGTTTTACCCTTTTGCTTCTTTAAAACTGCTCAAGTATTTCCTCAAGTTTACATTGCAATGCAACTAAACTTTTTAAGGCCAAAAACAGGCTCTCCGAACTTCATATTCGATACTACCAAGAACAAAACTTACTCGACGATGAGATATAATGTAACCAAACACCTAGGCCCATGAACCAAAAAACCCTACGCCTCTAACAGGTTCCCTGAGCAGCTGGGGAAAAAGAAAACTTCACTTCCTCCAAAAATCATGGCAATATGCTTGAAAATATCTCAGCAATCCAAATTTCTAGATTCTCTCAAACTAACATGGTCACATCCATTGACAGCCTATAAGAAGAGGTTTATTCATATATACTGTAGTATACATGCAATAATTTTCTTCAATTATTATCTCATATCCTTACACTGACTTGGGGGTCGGAGAGGCAACAGATTAGTATCTCGCATTTTTTCAGGTCATCAGAGCAGTGGAGAAGCTCACTCCAGCAACATCCCATTTTTTTAAATCAATAACAGATTAAAAATTGCAGTCCACAAAATAAGCATAAAAATGACAAAATGTAATTATACAAAAATGCGATAGGGGTATGAAATAACCAGTAAAGGGCTTGCGTTTGACGGCAGGATCTAGTTGATTGCACCACCGGAGGCGGCAAGACTTTCCGGATCGGCCAGGAATTCCTCGAGCAATGAGGCTCCAATTCCTCGCTCCGAAGTTGCTGACGAGTTGACTCAATATCGCGTCCTCTTCTGGTGACCATGGCCCCTTAATTTTGTCCAACGACTTGTTACTCCCTTGGCCACCGCCGCTGCCATTTCTCAGCCTTTCCATATCATTGTCATCTCTGGGCGAACATCCGCCTATGATGGTGGAGTCTCCATCGACGGCAATGGGTTGGGTCTCCAATTCCATTGATTTTATAGTTACAAATTTTATTTGTTTGGGTTTATAGTAGCGCCTAAAGATTAAAGTAGTAACTGAGTAACTGTAGGCAATGACAGGTGAATAGACTAGTCGGGCAAATTATAAGGGGACGTAAACCCACCCCTTTTGTTACTTTTCCTACAGTGCATACAATAACAGCGACATGAGTCATGTTTAATTTTAATTTTGTAATTTCAACTACTTAAAAAGTGATCTCTAATTTCAGCTAACTAATGCGTGTTTGAAAATTTCGCCCGTTTTAGGGCTCCATTAAAAACAAATTTTAGGAAATAACTATTTTGGATTAGTGATTTTTTTAAGAATGAGTGATTAAAAAAAGAGAAAAAATTTTAAATTTACGTGTAATATTATTTTATTAAAAATTGTGTGATCGAAAATAAGGTAAAAAAAATGTGTTTTTGAAATAATTGAATCCAAACAAGGGCTAAAAGGAGCTTTTGAGATTCAAAAATTACTTTTGAATTAGTTTGATAAATTTTATAAAAGTGCTTATACTCTTTATAAGAATTTTAAAGGAAGCCAATGAAGAAAAACTCTTGAAAATTAATTAACATAGCTTTCTTGTGAAAGTTTTCTACAAGAAGCAAATGCAAAAATCCAATCAAATGAACCCTGAGTTGACTTGAACATTGCCGCACAACATCTAACATTAATCAAAGTTGAATTGTATCGCAAATTATTTATTCTGATTCGCGTGATTAAAAAGATAAATTAACAAGATAATTTTTATACATAGGTACTTGTATTGCCTCGAAAGTAAAATCATCTACCCATAAAATTTACGAATGCGACATAATAGAGCACTAAATTCCACAACAGTGAAAATTGCTATTAAAGAAGGTTTGGTGACTAAACCTCAAGTACTACGAAAATAATGTTCAACTCAATTTCAAAAATTAAATTTATTACTTATTAATACAAAAATATTTTAATAAATATATTCATATCTCATCAATTCCAATCCAAAACACTGTATATATTTGATTACCACTCTTCTCTCATCAACATAATGGTATAGTTCATCTATAAATTGGCTAAATTAATCAGAAAAATGCGGGAGCGGGAGCAGGAGCATCAGCAACGAAATCGGAAAATGATGGAGCCGGGGCATCAGCGACAAAATCAGCAGAGTCGGTGGCCACCGGACCAGGGGCGGCACCACCGCCGCTGCTCAAAAGAGCCAACATGGCACGGCGGGGGTTCGACTTTTGTTTCTCACAAACAGCCGGCAAATATACTCCTGAAAATTGTTGTAAAACATCATTAATTATTGTAAAATAACTTTTAGAAAATGGAAAATTTAGCGATGTGTCCAATATTTTATAAAGAAAATACTTTAATTAAAGTTCAAGAAATTGAAGGGCAAGTAAAGGATAAAACTCCTTTTTACAATCTTTAGGCACACTGAAAGATTTATTCCAAAGAGACAATATTCGACCATGCAACTCTTGACAGCGTAACGTGTCGTGATTAGAGAATTTATTTATTAGTAGATTTTAAAATAATTTTTTCCAGTCGAAGTTAGAATAAGTCATATATTTTGAAAAGTAACTTCTTATAACTTTCTTACTTTAACCAACCAAATTTCTAACTTCAAACTTGTCACACACATTGAAAATAGACCAAGTCCACGGTCGATAAGATCTAGAAATAAAAGTCGAATTTAATTAAAGTAAGCAATTTTTAATTTTTAAGCTTCGCTGGCCAATCAAACTTCTCACATAGGTAGAATTAGAAGTAGAAAAGTCAATTTATAATTATCAAATTGTAAATAGTAAAAAACACCAGATATAACTCTAGAAATATTTATGAAAGTTACACGCTTACCAAATCTTTAATTAGAAAAATAAATCTATATTTTAGACGAGATAATTAACAAAACATAATAAATTCTAACCTTCGCCAGCGGCAAGGTTGAAGTAGAGGTCAACAATGTTAGGGCAGTTCTGGTAACAAGCCGGCGAGCAAAGACTGGCGGTGAACTGCGGGGCAAGGAAGGCATCAGACGAAATTCCGACGAAGCTCCGATCAACCCCGCATGCATTAACACATTGATCAGACTCTATATATCCGGCAATTCTTTCAACAACCACTTCTGATGTTTTGCATGTATATTCCAGCTTTCCTTCTTGATTTCGGTAATTCTCCAACACACATCTTTTACCAGAAGATGCAATTGCAAAGGAACAGAGATTTGTAGGCAAAGTTTCACAGATCACCTCCCCTAAAACACCAGAAAATAGACATGTATACGCATGAATCCTTAAATATTTACCTAGTTGTAACTAGCATATGTAAATTATAATAAGTGCAGATAAATTTGTACCTAGTGTGCCTTGTAGGAACATGGAGAATGCAAAGAAGAGGGTAAAAGACAGTTTCGTTGAAGAAGCCATGGATTGTTTTTGGTTGTTCGTGAGATATTTTCTTGGAAAATAATTTGTTGAAGAACTAAATGAAGAGAATCAAATGGGTTTTGTGAGGAACTTTCAATGTAGAGTCTGTCTTTATATAAGGATCATTGGATGTTTGAGTGGAGCCCACACGTTTTATAACAAAAAAATATTTATATTTTGAAATTTATTCCAATTTGTACAAATACTATTACTATTACTATAGTATAATTTCCTTTGATTTTTATTAAGGTTCATGGAAATATGCTATTCATTTCTTGTTGAAACTTAACAAAACGTGTTGGGTTGTCTGCATATTGAAGTTTCGTCCTCTGGAAGATTCCCCAACCCTCTTGCCACGTTCTCAAGTCCATTCTTGTTATTCATTCAACATTTTGCCTTCGACATCGATTACGTTTTAAAGTCTAGTCACCTCTATTAATATAGTTATTTCCCTTTTAAATGGTTGAAATGGGTCAAGTAGAGTTGATTTTGAAAAATAAAATATTATTAAAATTGTTGAAAACGAGAAAATAAAATCATATAATTTCAAAGTGAAGAACTCTTTTCTAAGTTTTTATATATTTTGAATTTCTTTTCTTCCCATCTTCTTTTTTTCTCTCTCTTCCATATTATCTATCTGTATATTATTATTATGTATAAACAATGTTACTCATCTTGATGACTAATCAAATAATCGGGTAAAAACTATTGATCTTACATTGTTCAATTTGACAAGGTCTAGAACTCAAAATTGGAAGTTGAAGGGTCAATGTTGAATGAGGAACAAGAAATTGGACTCGTCAATGACGGTCCTGCTCTCTTTCACATTGCGTGACAAGTTGATCAAGGCGTGTTTACCTATGATAGGTGGAATTTCATTATAAAAACATAATTTTGAATTTTATGTAGAAGAAAAGGCTGCGGTGATTTCATAACTGAATAATCAAATGGGAATTAAAATCAAAGTAACCAAGTAATTTCATTTCCACACAAACTTTTAGTAATATCTTAAATCTTGAGCTTCTACCATTAATCGAGTGAAATTAGGTTAAGAAATGTGGTAAATCAGTTCTAGTATAGATCAAGACGTGCCATGTGACTCATTTGAGATCAGCAAATTAGTTCATCGTGGAATCAATAATTGATCGTAGTAAACTTTGATAGATAGTAGATTAGACATCTAATCTATTTTTAGTACACATTATGGTTTAAAATATATGTGATAATTAAATACGAATGATGAAAAGGAAGGAGACTTGTGCTGTATTAGACAATTGTACCTTTAAATTAATTGCATGATAAAACTCAATGTTATTTGGGCCAGAAATAAGAGACTAAGTCAATGAAATTGATATGACGTATAACGAATATGTCTGCATTTGGGTTAATTGAGTTCTAAATTTGTAATTATGGTATAAATAATGGGCAAATTTATCTTCCTTCTCCTCGTTACTTATTTATACCACAGAGAATTAAATGTTGTGTCTCCCACGTCTCAATATTCTCAACCACTTCACCTATTTCCATTTCCCATTGAATAAGTGGCCTACATGATCGTTCGAGCTTTTGCTTTTCGATAAAAAATTTCAAATTAGAGTAATATTATAGTCATGTATCCTAACAATAAGTTTCATACATTCTTTTAAATTTGATTAGACACTATTTAGATTAAAAAAATAAGATGTTAAAATTTGTCAATTATTTTATCTAATTTTACTCAATTCAACGTACCTAATAATCTGATTACTCCCGATATATGTTAGCGGCTAGACATGATCCGATTTATTTCGATTCTCTTTAGAATCGAACCGAACCAAATTTTCATATATTTAGTAAGTAAAATCGTAGAATCCAAATTTGATTATGGAACAAATGGGTTCGGTTTAGTTCCATTCGATTACCTAGTCCCGTACAATAATTAAAATTTTTAATATTTAGAATAATGTTACATTAATTTAACTAATGACATGTTAAATCTTAGTTTTTAAAAAATAACATAGTCCAATCCTGTGATATCTTTTGTACCTCTCTTTATTAAGTTTTCGTAGATTTGACTGTTAAAATCGTAAGAGAAAGGCAGCGAACTCAAAATAATGAAGGGAGGCACAGTTAATCTTTCAATTTGATTTCCTCAAAATAGAAGAAACGACACTACGATAAAATAAGAGATTTGGGTAAAATTTAGATTGATTTGTTTAAGCTTATGCTTGGGTTGAAATTTAGAAATAGGCAAATCTATTTTGGTTTGGGCTAAATTAATTAGTTAGCAAATTTATTTTTTTTAAAAATAGTTGACTTATTTAATATCAAAAAAATAAAAATAGGGAGATTTTGTTTTTCGATTCTTGGTTTAGAACTGAGAATCGAACCGAACCGAACTGAACCAAATTCGTCAGTTCTCAATTAAGATATTTGTTCAGATATTTAATTTAAGGAGAATCGCACGATTTAGTTAGATTCGATTTGGGTTCGGTACAAAAATTTTGTCTATCCCTATTAGTGGCAAGTTTTTCAAGATTAGCAAATATTAAACATAAATGATGTTGGAGACAAACAACATGCGTCGGTGAGATCAAGTAATTAATCTCTCTTTCCCATTGCGTAAGCACTACTCATGGGTTGAATCCATGAGCCATGTTTATATGGCATTTAAGTGTCATAAAGTTGACAAAAGGCAAAAGCAAAGCTGAAATCACAAAATAATTTAGGGTCCATTTTATAGGTTTTTAAAAGTTAAAAATCGATTATGAAATTAAGATGCTGGTTTAGAACGTGTTTGATAATTTTTTGAAGTATTTTGTCTAGTTAGAAAACCTTTAATATTTAGAGGGAGTTGGCTTACGGTAACTTTTTCATAAAACTTTTCTAAAAAAAGAAAAAAACATGAAAAAAATCTATCAAACGAATCTTTAATTAGATTGCACATAAAATTAATCATGTATTTAAGATATATAAATAATAAATAAATAAAATTTTAATCTATTATTCAGTGGAGGCAATCCGGTCAAGACTGTGACTTGACTTGTTGTACACATTATCAAGCAAATAAATGTTTGGCGTTAAAATTAGATGGGTAATTATTTCAATATTAAGTAGGTCACCCGTTACTGGATTGTGGGGCACGGTAGAAATTATTATGATTGGAAAAAATAATCAAGACTCCGTAGACAATGTTTGTTAGTTTACCACCTAAATTTTTGTGGCTCTATTTGTTTCAAAAGAAAGTGGAAAAAAACCAAAGGATGGGTAGAAAATCTGGTCATAGCAAAACAAACCCTGTCAATACGATTATCGTTATGTCGTTTCAACGTTTCTTTAAAAGTTCAATTTCATGTTAATTATATGAAATTATATACACATATTATTCAATTAAAAAAATAAATTAATGCTTGATATGCTAATTGAAAAATAGTCTAATATTTGAAATATAAAGAAATTTTTTTATGGACGATTTTATTTTCAAAAAGCAATGCAGCCATTTCTTATTTTCCCAAAATATTCTCTCAGTGTTAAGGGTTAAATGCTATCTATCTAGAATGACAGTTGTGCTACATGTATATTACAATTTACAGACTAATTTACCAACAGATGATGAGACGAGATTTGACTTTTGACTGAATTCAAATCTCGTCATCTAAGAAAAAAAATCTCTCCCTCTCCTTTTGACAACTTATCAATCTGTATAAAATCGTGTAAGGGATAATGTACAACAACCATTTTTCCTAGAATGGATAGCAGTCTAAGTGAATGACATTAAGTGGTCTGACCTGTTTAATATGAGTATCGTCTGAATAAATAGCATCAGCCATATTTAAAAGAATGTAAAGCAATTGTATTCAATAAATTTAAAATTAAGTTTATATATAAAAAAAAAACGAAGATTATAATAACAAGTATATTTCAATTTGTAACAGAAATAGCCTGATTATCTCCTTAACTAAACTTGCAGGGATAAAGGCCGGCAAGGATATGGACTATGACTTAGCCTCTATTTGGGTCCTAACCCACACTAATTGAAAAAGGGAAAGTTTCATAAGTGAGAAATTAAGTATGGTATATTTTAAAATTAAGAAAATAAGTTCAAAATTCAAAAATTAGATTTTTATTAAAATTTATTTATGATTTAATTATTAATTTAATATATTTAGGTCACATATCTATACAATTTGGTCACGAATTAACAATTTAATTACTAATTTATTATTTTTTTGTCACAAATAAAAAATTTTATGTCACAAATTATTTTATGATCACAATTCAAAAGTTTTGCAGGTCATAGTTTGGTCATCAGTCACAAATCAAAAAATTAATTAATCCTGGATTAATTTTTAGTCACAACTTATTTCTCAATCACAAATAAAAAAATTTATAGGTCACATATTATTTTTCGGTCAGGAATAATTTTTTTATAGGTCACAGATTATTCATTAGTCATAGAATCAAAACTTTTATTGATCACAACTCATATATTCATTTCAAATTATTAGATTAATTGGTCAAGATTAATTTTTGTATCACAACTTAATCAATTGCAAGTCACAGACACAAATTTAAGGTCACAAATTATTTATCCATCACAAATTAACCAATTATTGATCACATTCAACCAATAAGTTGGTCACACACCCCCACAACACTTGTGACCATCACGTAGCCATTTCTTAAATCAGCACCACCACTACACCACTGCCACCGCTTGAACCACTACCACCACCGATAGCAACATTGTTGTCTCAACCAAAAAATCAACTCCAACATTATCATCGCCACAGCCACAACCACACCAACACCACTGTCATTGCTACAGCACCACAATCATCTCACCATCACGACAGACCAACCATAAAACTCCACAAATCTACCACACAACCACAAATCCACCACCCCGCCACCGCCACTACGACCACAACCACCGTTCCCACCATCGCACCGCACACCTCCACCACACATCACCTCTCACCCAACCACCACATCACCACCGTACCTACAACAACCCAGTATGACAGTGCCATATTACCATCCCTGTGTAGTCAACCCCGTAACACCTCCACTGCTTCACATCGCGACAAATCGAGGCGGTTGCAAACCCCC